ATTGTCGACGAATTTTCAACAACCTCATGAGTAGTGCAGTACAAATATTTCGAATATCGTAGCGACTGAAACGTGAGGCGGCCTGCTGCAGCACATTCAATTGCCTGGAAACATCACCAACGCGAGATTCAGCTGGGTTCGAGGTGAGTCTCTCGGAAAACCAAATTATTTGGCGAATGAATGAATATTCGCTAATTTCTCGTGGTCGTTTTGCCAGCAGAATCAGCACAGCTGACGTGAAGCAAGTACGTAGGCAAAGCAGCTCGGTCGAGAGGTGAGTCTCTCGGAAAACCAAATTATTTGGCGAATGAGTGAATATTCGCTAATTTCTCGTGGTCGTTTTGCCAGCAGAATCAGCACAGCTGACGTGAAGCAAGTACGTAGGCAAAGCAGTTACCTCGGTCGAGAAAAGAACCAGAATTTCGACTTACATCGTCTGTGCAATCGGCCACGATCACTTGCTTGAGAATTGTTTTTGAACCCATCTCCACTTCCCAACACGTCCGATTATCTTCATTTCGAGGAAATCCATCAACCAGGTAGTTCATGCACTTGGACTCCTGGTAACCCTGTTTCATGGCCTGGGAAAATATGGGCAAAAAGAATGTACAACTCAACTGATGCCATGCGTAGGGGACTGTGAGGGAAAAAATAGAAGTGTCACAAATAGGTTGGCCAATATTACTCTCACTGTGGACAGCAACGCAAGAGGAACGAGTTGGTGAGTTGGGAGAAAACGGGTGGCCAAACTGACAGAAAAATCTAACCCAATATTCTACCTGTCATATACTGTACACGAACTAAAACTCGTTCTCAGATGGGTGTGTCCAAGTGATTCAACCGCAACCAGTTGTCCTTGAAATGTGTGGCTCAAAAAATCCATGTGATTGGTCGATCGAATGTCGATCAACATATTCAGTGGATCAGATTACGTTAAAAGTATCACTTCAAAGACAAGCCAGCTACGAGCAATCGGAATGCACGCATGCACACAAACGACCGACGAAACTACCTCGCTGCTGAGCGAGGTTCGCGAATAAGCAATGAGCTAGAAATTTTGAGTGATACTCACTAAGTCACGAAATATAAAAACAGCGAACTACCACGTCGTTTGTGTAGGGATAGTTGTTGAGATCATGTCAACCGCTTAAGGTGAACCCACTCACTCCCAAACGAAACAAACAGGCCTCGCACGGGCATAACTACAATAAGTCTGAGAAACCGCCGCAGATTTCTCATGGTGAAAGGAAGAGGGCCTTCGCTGCCGGGTTGTTTAATAGAACTGAACAGGTACAGACTATAGGACAGGGAAGCAAAACTCTCATATACATCTTGTTTACAAAACTGAATATCCATCTTCTCCTTGAACTCGTCTTCCCGAAATTTCTTGGATATTCATTGACTGTTACTCAAATGCGAGCAAATGCCACAAAGCGGCTCCACAAATTCCGTACTAGATCTCACTTTTCAAGAGGCGCGAAGCGGATTTACGAGAAAACATACTACTCGCATGCCCCATCAGTAGTATCCACCGTTACAATGGTACCTACAGGTGAAGGTACAGTGTGAAGAGAACAGAGAAAATTGTCTTGCGTGTCACGAGAAGCACATCCTGTATGTGCTGGAGCTGAGCTGAGCAGCACTTTCATCGGTTCGGTGATGTCAATCTTGAAAGAAGCGCTGAAATGAGTTATCGATTTCGAGGTGAATTGCTTTTGAACTTCATAAAACAATCGTCGTAACTGGGAGGAGATATCCGCTACATGTGACGCTGAAAAACTGGTGCTCCCGAGCGCGCACATACTAACCACTGGATCTCAAAACCATCGCTGTCACTTCTTGATGAAAGACGTTGTATGTCTTCGGGAGGAGGAATGGTGGAACTAGCAGTTTCAAAGAACGGAGGGGGCTAGGTTAAAAAAGGATGCACGGAGGCTGAGCCCGCTGATCCTCAAGACAGTATCCAGGACATCGTCTATTAGTTCGCCAAAGATAATAACAGAAGTCTAATATATAATAAAAAAGGCGATGTCTAGACCGCTGAAGAGAATATTTTCAAAAGCTTACTTCGCAATCGGCCTCCGTACCCATGTCTTTCATCCGATCTACTCCTGCTGTGGGTGTAGATCCACCCTCGATTGACGAAGTACTGGTGTCTTTCCGTTTTGGAAGACCATCGTGCTGCCTGAATAGGTGAGATTCCACAGGTGCTACCTAAAGACGATGGTGCATCAGTGTTCTTACATGCCTACACTGTTCGGACATATTTGGAGACAAGAACGCACTTCAGACAGCTGCAGTAAATGGATTATTATACCTCTAATGAACGAAAGTACATGGGGCGGCTGTTCTAACCAGATAGGTATCAGCCCAAGGGCTATCGTAACGCGACTACCGCTCCCAGTAGTACTGTGACGCCTAACCCCATCAATGGGACGCAAAATATCTGGGGCGAGGTGGCCCAAGTGGTTAGAGTGCGAATCTACTGATCTGAAGGTGCGTGGTTCAAACCCGACCTCTGCCACTCGACTTCCCATGTCTAGGCTTGGGCAACCTGGCAGCATCCCAGCCCTCGTGCTTCCTCCGGGTGGCATGGCAGCTAGGCATCGGGTGTTACAGCTGAACGATTTTTTTTATATGAGTACGAGGTAGGGTTTCGCCCGAGTAATTTGTACCGAACGCCTTCACATAACATCAAACGCCTGGGCAGCACCATACATACGGGCAGCCAACAACTGCAGTTTTTCTCAAATCCAAGGGAGTCTTTGACTTTGTAGATCAGGTCAGTTTCACACACATCTCGTCAAAGTTGGATGCTCCTGAAGTGTGTAAATATATTTCGTACTATTTATTCCCACACTTCTGATCGAATTTACAAGTGCAAGGCTCTACTGCGCTTCTTAACACATTGGCGGGATAATCCCGATTGGTGACAAAACGTTTACCACAACTCGATCACCAACTTACAACGAACTGACAAGAAGTTTTCCTACATCATCATCATCGACAGCAGGGCGTCAGTGTTCAACGGTGATGCCTCGCTGCCGTGAAATCACAATTTATTTTGAAGAATGAACTGGACGGGGAAGGGACTTGGTGCTAGCTTACTATGAGCATTCCGAGGTGCCTACACCTCCAGACACTCATTCAGATGTTCATTCCTACAACTAAGGAGGTTCATCAAGGCTGTTCTTTCCCGCCCTGTTCAAATTTGTGATACATTCTATCACGGAATGGACACTCCAGGAGATTGATTATCTGGCTTATCTCCGCGGACCCTCGCCAGCGAACAGATAGGACAATTATCTAGGGAGCTCAATATCAACCACTGTGAGACAGCCCAAGCCTAGACAAGGGAGGTCGAGAGGCAGAGGTCGGGTTCGAACCACGGACCTTCCGGCAGTAAATTCGCGTTCTAACCACTAAACCATCGCGCCCGAAGTTTGAATTCCTAATCAAGCTTCTGTTTTTTAGCGATGCTAGTGAGCGTGGATAACCCAGTGTTCCATTCTAGTAGAGTATTACCCTTGTTCACAATCCTGAGTCCTAGTTTATGTATATCCAGGAACCTCACTCAACAATGTGGCCGGCCTATATGCTGAAAGCTCGACCGCATTCGTTCGGATGTGACCTGTGTCGCAACTGATGACACTACTTGACATTGCAAGTTATCCTATATCTGTGCTATTCCACTGCGGCAATACAAACGGAAAAACAATGGAAAAACAACAACTCACTTGGTCAAGCAGTCCACAAGTGATTTTAGCAGGAACAATTGAACCATTTTTCATATGACGCTGGATCTCAGCACAAAATGCCGAATCTGGTGTATTGCAAGCCCGACGGAGGAGCTCGCCAGCAGAGAGGTGAATGAAGTTGTGGTCCTAAATGGAAAAACACCTTTGAGTAAAGAATGGTCAAAAAATAAAATTGGTCAGAATCGACCTGACAACACAGAGCATTTGTTTTTCAATCCGATTACGAAGCAGAAACAAGTATGGGATATTTCACAATGGCTCATTTGTGAATAGCTCTTTAAGGTGCTTCGAGATCCCACGATATCCATAGTAAGTCATCATCATCACCATCATCATCGGCAGCATGACATCAGTGTTCAACACTGTTGCTTCACTGCCGTACCACAATAAGTGTATGAGACGCTATTAGGCCACTCGCTTTGTGTGCTCATGGTCCAGTCTGTGAAGTCATTACGTATTCCTCACTGAATTTACGCTCAACGTAGATAACACTTAGAGGAGCGAGCTGATTTTCGGGCAACCCCCGCAGAGTGCAAACACCGGTACTTGACATAACACTTAGAGGAGCGAGCTGATTTTCGGGAGGATGCGAAGCGCCATTAAGGGCAACCCCAGCAGAGTGCAAACACCGGTACTTGACACCCTTTGTCATACATAACCAGGGCGAGATGTACCAAGTGCTTAGAGTGCGAATTTACTAGCCGGAAGGTCCGTGGTTCGAACCCGAGCTGCACCTCTCGACTTCCCCTGTCTAGGCTTGGGCAACCTGGCAGTATCCCAGCCCTTGTGCCTCCTTCGTGTGACATGGCAGCTAGGCACCGAAAGGGTGCTACAGCTGAACATAACCAGATGAGAGGGTTGTCCATACTTTTCACGGCGACGAAATTCTATGGTTCTTCTCCTCAATCTATCTATAGTGCTTAAGAGCCTACTTCCGTTGTACACCAGCCTTGTCATCAAACCCGCACGTCTTTCAATGGCTTTATGGCCAAATCTGCCTCACAATCAGAAGTCCGGAAGAGAACCAACGACCTTGCTAAGTGAACAATATGAATGAAGAAATCCCACACTTGAGCAATGGTTTCTTAACTGTTCTTCAATGAAAAACAGAAGGCGATAATGATCACGTACTCCGGTGTATGAATCAACTATAACCTGGTAGTATACCAGCCCTCGTGCTTCCTTCGTGTAGCATGGCAGCTAGGCACCGATTACCGTTCACCGACATCAGCTTCATCACCATCAACAACAACAACAGCAACATCGTTGCACCGCGAGTTATGAAAACCGGTAGTCAACTGCTAAGAAAAACTAAAGACCACCATATTAGAGTAATCTACTACTTGACCAGCCTGTGCACAAGAGTGACAGCTTAGCACCTGTTCGCTTTTCACTTATGGTTATGCTGATAAGAATGTCGCGTATGAAAGGGACAGCACAAGTATCAGCTTAATTGACCAGAGCGATCAATTTGGACAGAATGTATAACAGCTGTTTTATTACAACACCCGTAGAATATTAATGCATTGGCTGTATAGTTATAAAAAAACCAATTGGGCAGAAAAAGTGCCGCAACTTCGAATGCAGCGCAAAGACATTTATACACACGCATAACTAACCTCGACTATTTTTTGACATATTGTGCCTTTGCCAGCTCCAGGGCCACCAAGGATAAAACAAACGTTGAACTTCATTCCACTATGAATCGAGAACGGATAGCAAAAGGTGGGTACCGACAGGTACCTGAAACGGAACAATGTAATATGATCTGAATAGCAATCAGAATCTCGGATTACCGCCAACTAGTCGACGAAGAAGATGGACGCAGAAGAGATCGAGTTAACAGTGGTGCAACCATTTGGGTTAATGGTGAAACTCATAGAGGATAGAGTATGCTGGAATTTCAAGCCTGGTGTTGCAATTATGGAGATCAAGCAAACAGCTTCGAACCCGAATCACCAGGTGCAGCTCTTCCAGTACTTTAATGAAACTTGAAGAGATCAAGCAGGGTGAGCGAAGTAAGCCAAAGCATGCATGGACGAAGATAGATGGAAATTAGATGGCGCAAAATAGGCGAGGGCAAAAAAATTTACACTATTCATTATTTGGATGATATACGGTAGAGTCAAAAGCCGTCAGTTAAATAAGTGGCACGGAGGGACGCGTAAAGCATGGTCACTCTTCTGGTGAAGACCATGTAACAATGGTAGAGAGCGAGGGACTTCTGTCGTTCCAAAACTGCTACCAGGTGTGGGTGTCTTATTTCCTCGAGCTCATCAGGGTGGTGGAGGAATCCTGAGAAACCATTAACAATAATTTCATTTATCAATGTCTTTATGCTTCGATTCCTTGAAAGTGAACACCAGGCTCGTGCGCCAGTAGTTTGCAGCACCTCCAGTATTGTTGTTATCTGGAGACGACTCGGAGATGATAGATCCACTCTGTCCAGCTTTGTCGATAGTCGGTCGGTAGAGGAACCCAGACACGAGGATGTTGGGATATGTCACAGTTCAACCTTTTATACACCCTAACGAATTACTGCACTACATGATGTGCTTATAGCTTATTTAGAGTCCTCCTTACGAGGGTGGTGGATGGGCAGTCTGATACTCTCCTAAGACCTCCAGGCTAGCCGATGGGACAAATGAGGCAGATTTTCTAGAAGTTTGTCGTAATCATCATTGACATGAACACCAGAGTATATTGGTACACAGCAAATGCTGATTTGTTTGAATGAAGCTCCAGAATGGGGAGGATAGGACAGGGAACTTGCGCTAACCTACTGCAAGCACCCGAGGTGCCCACATCAACACGCACTCAGGCAATTTGAAACAATCTTCAAGGAAAAACTCGTTCTGACAAACTTATCCGGACCTATGTAGTCTCACGATACCTTATTCGACTGTCTACTTCCATCGTACTTAATAAAAATAAACATTTTGAGCACAGGACAGTAGCAAAGTGGCATTGAACTGGATAGACAGAAAAAGTGGACAGTCGAAATCAGGGACGCGACAATAGGTGAAAGACCAATGAAGTTCGAGTAACATAAATTTGAATGAATGGTGTGAACCCGCGGTAAATGGAGGGGTAAATGTGGACTATCAGTGAGAAGGCATAGAAGTGTGGGTTAGCCCAAAATGTGATAGGTCAAATATTACTGTGACCTGCTTAACGTCCGCAAAGGCAAGCTCAACACCAGGTTTGGTTTGAGACTTTGGAAGGCCATAGCATCCAACCAATGCAAGGGTGGAATATAGTAACCAGTAAAACGTCCGGTCGAATCCCGTGTCACTGATTTTTATCCTCCTACGGAGCCACACCAGTCCTCGACCTGAGTACCAGGCGAGACTTGGAACGGGTGGGGGCTGAGTCCACAGTTTCGCATTCCGTTAGATGTTAGAGACAATCCATACGCACAGGCGACCCAGAACCTTCGTGTTCCTTGATTTTAGGTGTGCCTAAGATTCTGCCAATCACTCATCTCTAAACTATACTTGTCCAACCGGGGATGTTCTAGAAGTTTGCAAACTTAATTAGATCCCTATATTTACAAACTCCTGGGCGTTTGGGTTTACGATGAGCTCTCTAGAAGCTTCTCAAGAGAAAGTGGTGTCCGGCAGCGACGTCCTCTCTACTCACGCTTGTTCAAATTCGTCATCGTGTTGATCAAACTTTGGTCTCTTTCAATGGATGCACCTGTGTCATCAAGCACCATCAATATCATTATTATAAGCTATGAGAACCGCGTGCTTGTCGCACAGTAGTTGTAGCTGTCACAGTTTCGTTCACAGAGGATTTAGGGAGAAAGAGGTAGATAACTGCGCATTGAAGGTGGGGGCTGATGAACTGTTGCGTAAATACAGGACTGTCAGTGGACTGTTAAGTGGCGGGTTGTGAAGGAGGCTATGCATTGAAGGCCATAGCGCCACTGAGGGCGCGACTGGCCCATATCTGAGAGTCATCATCATCATCATCATCATCATC